CAGTTGGTGAATATTGAATTCTATTTATTGATGGGTCTCTATTCTTATATTCAAACGCTGAATAATATTCAACAGTTCTTCACTGACGATATCATGAGCGTCTCTTGACTCAACACGTGCATGATGACTTCTTAATTTCTTTTTATTTTTGTCTCTCTTTGTATCAAAAAAAAATTAAAGATATTTTTTAATTTTATCTTTTTAAAATAAATATTTTTATACTTTTATTATATTTAAATATTATTTTTATTATTATTTTAAAATAATAATAGTAATAAATTTTAAAATTAGAGAAATGAATAAGAAATTAAACACTTACTAATTCTTTTTAGATTATAAAGTAATTCTATAGAAATATTTGTGTTCTTTCTTTCTTAGATTATAAGGTAAAGTGCACTAAATAAAAAAATACACAGATTTTTTTTGTTAGGAAACAAGTTGGCATTTGTTGGCATGCATGGAAGGCTAAAATGCAGCATAATTTTTAAAAACTAGTAAGTTAATTCATCGTTCCCGAATCAAAATTGATTTCTTTCTCTTTAAGATCACATTCCTTTTCATTATCATCGTGGCGGATTCAGCAAATTTTTCTTCTAAAATACAACTTCAAACTCCAATTTCAGAATTCAAAAGAAACTGATTCAACCCAGAACCACACAGGCTAACTAGGATAATCTGTAGCCATTTCTTGATTCAAATTCAGAACAAATTTACAGTTGGAGTGGCAACCAGGGGCCTCCTTGGTAGGTTGGCCGGAGATAAGATATATATATTTATGTATGTAGCCTGAAATACAATCACATTTGCCTAGTTGTCAAAATTTGTGGGTGCTGCGTAAGTAAACAGCATATCTGTGAAGACTACATCAACCATGGCAGTGAACATCTGTCCATTTGTCAAGCAGCAACTATGTCTCTGTTCATTTAGGCATTCTGGAAGTTCCGATCAAATTGTCACAGATATGGAAACTTAGAATCAGCCAGCAGTTGCCCCTACAGACTCAGCAAGTTCTTCAAGAAGTTCCTTTTGCTCCATGGTACCACAAGACTGCGAGAGCCAAGAATCTCAGTGGCAAGGAGTGGGGAGAATCCTTTTACTGTTTTTCAAAAGGAAAAGGATACCGGTTTCGTTTATTAAATGAGGAAAATGGTGAGAATAGTACCTGAACTGCATTCTCTATATCCCCTTCAAGAAAAGATGTGAGCTCAAAGTTCATCTTTAGCCGGTGGTCAGTAACCCGATTGTCCTAATCAACAAAACAAGTACTGATGATTTCGACAACTATTCCGTTTCCTTGAGACAAAAACTAGCTTGTGAACAACCTCTTTTGTCTTCCAGAAGGCAACTAGACAGACCTACATCTTCTAAATAAATAGTTTTCAATTGCTACACTAAATAATGAAATATTGATAGTTAGCATAAAATTCAAAGCTAAGATGCATGCATCATACCCCTTATGCTTACTAAATTTGCTTCAAAAAAACAACTGTGAAATTCTCAAAACTCTTGCCTTTTTTACAGCATTAATTAATTCAGGAGTTAACTTATTGACCATAAGCATTCATCAAATTAATTACTACATCCTTGCCCACAAGGAGAATCCAATGACTTCTAAAGGCAGGGGTCCTATCACGTAAAGCTGAAGGCTCAAGCTAACACAGAAAAAGCAGCATTTTGAAATTACCTTGTAATTGTAGGTCCTAATTTTTTCTGCACGAGCACCAGTACCAACCTGTGTTTCAGATTATACCATAAGAAGCTTATCTAATAACCAACAAACCATTTCTGTACATTTATGCAAACCAATATTCTCCATTAATACAAGTCCTACAGAAATCTGGAGAATTTTTTTAATTTCTTTTTCCATGATGAATTGATGAAATGTGCTGCAACATATCTGTCACACCGTGTGTAAACAATGTGTTAAAGTTTCCACAACAATGACTATAAAAAACTATTTATAACAAAAAACCTGACATGTGAATAATATGAAGAATTGATTACAGGGGCTGATTTTATGGCTGCACAATAACAGTTACCAAAATCAATTCAAGATGATGATGATCAATGCACCAGAAAGACCAACAACGAAAAAAAATTGATTATGGATGCTGATTTTATAGCTGTATAATAACAGTTACCAAATAACAGAGAGAGAGAGAGAGAGAGAGAAAGAATACTGTCTTCCAGGCCCAAATTTACCTGTGATTTTCGTTGGTTTCTTATCAACTCCTGTTGCTCCCTTACTTTTATTTCATACCTGCAAAAGGAACATGATCCATTAGGACAAGAAAAGGAAAGGAATTTTAAAAATCACCAAAAATTGAAATTTCGATTTACACGTACTCTGGTCCTTAAAGATCACATGAAAATTTTCTCAAATAATTTCTCTTTACATTGGAAATTAAAACAACAAAACAGGAAACATTATCTTATGTGCAGGCAGCTGCCATGTGAGGAAGAAGTAAAATATAGATAGATACCAATCACGTAATGATGTACGATAAAAAGAGTTTAAAGACAAACTTAAAGAAATTTTATTAAGAAGCAAACTAGAAGATCTTGGATCTCAATAAGCAAAGCAATATCTCAATATTTAAATAATAGTCATAAATAGTCTACCCAATAACTAAGCTACCTTATGCATCAGCACCAAATACATCAAAAGTAAGAAATTTAGAAGCCTAATAAATATGATAATAAGTTAAATAGAAAAAAGCTAGGGAAATCGGAGAACTTGGAACTAGAAAATAAATCTTCATACATTGCCTTCTTCTAAAATTTTCTAAAATTTAGAAAAGGAAATTAAATTTTCTTACTCCTTTTAGTTAACTTCCCAAAACATTTATATTCTTTAGTGGTTCTGCCTCGTATCTCCTATTACTGAAAGACATCAATTTTAGGAGTTCCTTATTCTGCATCATTCTTCCCCACTTGGTGAAAAATCAACCTTGAGCTTTGAAATGTCGAAGTAAAGAAAATGTCAAAGTTGGAACTTGTCTTCTTAACAATCGAAGCTTGTGGAACTTGAAATTATAACAAACTAACATAAATGCTTCCGAAATCAAGAGTTCTAAAGATGTAGTGAACTAGTTAGGACTAGGAAAATCCATAAAAGGAAGAAAAGTCGAACTTTACTCATTGTTATGAGGAGCCGGAAAAATTTTTGTAGTATCTTCAGGTGGAGCCTCTTTCTTGAGAATATCATCATTTTCAACTTCAGCAACATTATTGTTTGCAGCTAAAATTGAGAGATGCATCACTAGGTGACTCAATTTGTACGATAGAAATCATAGCTTTTTTCACAATCTCCTTGATTGTCTTACCTACGAACTTGCTACCATTAGTTGGGTGGTCAGTGGTGATCTTTTCAGCTACCTCATTATTTAACTTGCTCTCACAAGTTAGATCATCAATGATAGAGAGATCATCTTGTTAATAAAAATGGATAAGTTTTGGTATCTAGTAATCACTAGATCATCATCATCAATGATATTGAGATCATCTTGCCCCATAGAAAGAGATGTCGTGACATATGGTGGTCACTACATCACTATAATCCTGGAGAGGAATTCCTGAAGATTTTATTACACGCATCAAAGACGGTTTAAGCTTAGCTACTTTTAAGAACTCTCCTTATTAACCCATGAGTAACTAATGAAACTTTTTTCTTATCTCTTCAAACACTAAGTAGAAGTTGAGACAACAATCCTATCAAGATATAATCACTTTCTCGTAAAACTATATCATGATCTCTTCCATGTATGAAAAAATATTTTCCATTGCGGCCGGATAGGCTTGAATGCCTTAACATTTTTATAATTAATTTTTCAAAGTCAAGGTCCAACATCACTAGATATAGCCTAGTTCTTGCAAGCATTTTCCAGATTAAGATCTCACTAACATGCGATTGCCTTGTCCAGTCACTTGCAATTTAAACATAGAAACGATTATTGACCTTTATTACAATCAAGGTACAACATGTTCTTGACCTTTATTTCTGCTTCATATCTCCTATTATTGAAATGTGCTTACTTTTATGAGCTTTGTATTCTGCATCACATAATATATACTTATAAATGATACTATTGATGCTTACAATTTTGCTCGCAGCAGCTGGAAAGCACGATTTTTGTTTCGAAGTTGGGTCCTTTCTTCAGTACAAAAAATCCGGATGCCTGATGGTTTATGGAAAAGATCAACAGCTGTCTCCACCTTGTTGACATTTTGTCCTGTATCATAATCAAAATGACCTTATTCCCTTTATTACCAAATTCAGAGGAGACACAAGTGGCAGATTGATGGAAGATCCATTAGGTTAAGTTGTTCTCTTTGATTATTGAGATTCAACTTTATATACCTCCGGCACCACCAGATCTTGCCGTCGTCAGTTCAATATCCTTTGGGTCGATTACCACGTCTACTTCATCAGCCTATGCACAGTTGCATCACAAGCACAATGGATTAATTTCTTTTAAAACAAAGGATGGAAATGTGGAACTTCCATTATCAAGGAGAAGATATATTAAGCACAGAAAAGATAAGGTAACATCACAGATAGAAAAGTAAATGCATCTACAAGCAAATAAAAAATAAAAAAATACAGTATATGCAATTACTAACTACATATCATTAAGCTGGAAACTCATTAACTTTGCGCTCTAGCTCTAGTTAACTTGAGCTCTTAACAGTCCAGTCAAGATGTAGATGCATATACGTCATGGTTAAAAAATTAACAGATTGACTTCAGTGGGACTGAGTCATCACCTCATTAATAAAAGCATAGGTAGCAACCATGAAACCAAATTCACACAATTGGAAAAGTAGAGTGATAAATCAACTTAGTTGACTAAGCAGTAAAGCCCATAAAAGTACATCCACCAAGCTTGATCCGAAGGATATAATTTGAAATGATATCCTACCTCCGGCATGATGGCCACAGTAGCAGTAGAAGTGTGTACACGACCCTGTGTTTCTGTTTGAGGTACACGTTGAACCCGGTGAACGCCAGCCTCATACTTAAGTTTGCTGTAAACGCGATTCCCTTTGATCTCCATGACATATGTTTTGAATCCTCCTTTCTCAGCCTTTAAAATAAAAAACAAAAATATGCTGCTTTGATGCATGTCGTTATGGGAACATTTGTAGAATTCAGTTTGTAACTAAATCAAGCACCCTCACTGGTAATGCAGCTTCATTGATGCAGAATAAAAGATATTATTTTGGAGTACATTTTAATTAAGTTTTTGTAATAATTATTAGTTTTTATTTTTTTATTTAGCTTATGTTGGCATTATAATATTTTAAATTCTAATTTAGGTAGATTTGAATATTACAAGAATTAGAATCTGCTAGATTTTCTTTTTTAGAATTTTCCTCACTAGTTGTAACAAATCCACTCTTAAAAGCTAGTAGATACAAACAATGGAACATAGACGAATGATGCATTAAAAAATTATTTGTTAAGGTTTTACTCCCTATTATCTCTTTCTTTCTTCATTCTTCCTGTTATTACTCTGTCCAACATATCTCCTGTCCATTCTAAATTATTCTAGAGAAATTAGTTTAACCACTAAACGTCTTGCATCAATCATTTCTTTAAATCATGGCAAACAGATCCCACATGCACTGTGCATGGCACACCACCAAGTGCATGGGTGCTCCCACTATAACACATGATGCAGCAAATCCTTCCCATTCAAGCTTTCTTCTCCTAAGAAGATGATGTGGCATTTGGCTATGAGCTGCATGTCAATATAAAAGTTTTAAGTTATATTTGAGTTTATTGAAACGGCAGCATGATATATATACCTCAGAACTCGAAATTGATGTATATTTCCAACCATTCCGCTCACAGTACTTCTGATACATGGAGACCTAAACATTGATAGGATATTAGGATGCATAAGTAGCAGCAGGGTGTTGTTTGTCGAGAGAAAGTTCAAAAGAGTGACTTCATATGCTCCAAGAATGATATTCTGGACAATTTTTATAAGCTTTCCATGTCGAAGAGAGCATGGAAGAAAGAGAAAAAAGAAGAGGACATTAACCAATGTTATCTGACATATAAAAAGCTTCTCTCCATCAGATGCAAAAGCAAAAGCAAAAGAAAATTTCCTTAGGTGGAGTGCAGATATGGGGTCCTGGTCTCCTTTGTTGCAAAGCCAATTGGGGCCAAGCATAAAAAAGAATAGAAAGAAAAACGACCTAATTACATTATTCAAATATTTGCAAAGGAAAGAGGGCATAAAATACAATTCCAGAAACTATATGATGAAAAAAGAAATAATTCCCATACTATCATCAGTTAAACAAGAAAGGTGAAGCAGAAGAGCATATAAAGACAAAAGCCATCAAAAGGACATCAAAGATATTCCAAGTCCTGTCAACAAAGAGAATGCTTTAAGCAAGTCAAGAAAGACAGCATGATTCCATGCAATAGATTTGGAAGGACAAAGAAACATGTACCTACAAGATCACCAGCCCATAGTCCAGCCTCATCCCCACCAGTGCCGGCCCTCACTGCAACAGGTCACCAGTAGGAGTGAAGTAGAAACCAAGAAGAAAATTGAGGGGAGCTCTATGGACAGAAAATTCCTTTGGCATACAATAAAACCAGTGTTTGATTTTCCATAAAGAAAATAAAAGATCGTGCAAGAATTGACTGAGAAATCTTATGCATCCAGACAAACCACGTCAGTTGGCCCAAAACAGAGACAGGCTTAAGGGACATGAGCAAAACATCAAGACGTATCAATAGGAATAAGTTTTCTGAGAAGTGATGTCAGTATAATATCAATAAATATTTTCTGTTATTGACAAAGGGAGAAGAGTAAAAAGGGAAAACAAAAATTGTAAACACCATATATTCATTTGAGTGTGTTAGACCATTGCTATACAGATTTCAGACTTGTACTCCAAAATGTGGAATAGCCATCAAACTTGAGAATTCCAGCTCTCACTGAATATTTCGTATTAATACAAGTTATGGACATGTGATAACTGATTCGTCCTACCTTTACATGATTTTCCATTATCTTTAGTGTAGTTTTGTTTGCTTCAGAACACCCCAAAATATCCTACACGTTCGTGTGAATGCATTTATATAGTTCTATCCTTCACAAGGATAACTAGACAATTAGAATGAAACCATGAGCTTTTCACAAATAACATGAATCAAATGATACATAACATAAACATCAAAGAACTACTTTTACCTTCAAGCATGATATTTCTTGAATCAAGCGGATCACTAGGAAGGAGTAGTACCTACCAACATTGATATAATATTATAATTTCAGTCGAGTCATTAGGAAAAAGCAACCATAATTAAAACCAACTGAATAATCCACCTTGATGTGACTAGAAATTGAATGAAACATTCTGACAGAAGACAGTAAACCACCCTGTATATGATATAAAACATTAACCTTAAATTTCTGCTCAAGTTCTTTCAGTTCATTTGATAAAGAATTTACTTCATTTTCTATCATCTCTGCCATATCTTCATCATTGCTATCATCTTTCAGAGCTGGTGTATTGATTTTGCAGAACCAGAAAGATGGCTATCAGCAAAAATTTACCAGTCTTCCAAAATTAGTTTACAGAAGTAAAGAAGTGGACAAAACCTTTAGTCTCTTCTAATTGTCTCTCACAATCCTTGAATCTTCTGAAGGTTGATACAACCTATAAATCGGAAAATAGCAGGGAGCACCTTAATAACAATCAGCAAATAAATGCCAAGTAAGAAGCAAAGTGAACTACAGTACCTCATCAAGCTCTGCCATAGACTGCGCCAGCTTTTGGTATTCATCGGGATTTGAGACAACATCTGGATCAGCTAGCTTGACCTACAATTTATGTCCAGTCAAATCAAATATTGGTGTTATTTCAAAAAAAAAAGTTCAAATGTTGGTTTGTTTTTTATTTATATTGTTTAACAGAATGATCAGTATCAAACTCTCACAAAGATAACAACAAAAAATTAGTTATATAATTTCATAGTATGATTAATCTAATTGCCTCAAATAAATAATTACATAACAGCATATGTCAAAAGAACACAATTTATGGATTTGGGAACCAATAACAGAAAAATACCTATAAATAAGTCAACAGTGATTGGAAAACAATGTCGAGAATAAGAGTATCTGTCTCCTCTCACCATTTGGGAACTTCCTCAAAATTCACTTACCGTTCTAAATAGCCATTCCTTTCCATTATATGTTACATCTATTAGACTGTAAACTAACAAAACTGTATTTAACAAAACATATATTAACACCAGCTTGGGCACAAGACCTGCCTCATTGACCTCCAAACCCTGATTCTTATTTTCAGACTACCTAACTATAAGGAAGAAGCATTAGCAGGTGCTTTACTCCGATCACCATTAGACTGATATAATCCGTAAACTAAAACTATTAAGGAAATTTACCAAGATACTTTCATTCTTCAGTAATCAAAAGCAAAAACATATGCACAAAGAGTTCTTCTCCGAAGCTATTAGGTACTTCAGTAAAAACATACCGATAACTCTTTCCATGTCTTCTCAGCGGACTCCAGTTTCGTTATCAAGTACGGTTCCTGCAATCAATCACAGCTACATAACAAGCCAGTATTCTGAAAACAAAGGTTCGATTCCTGAACTAAGAACTATAAGAAAACAACGAAGGAGTTTTGAGAACGAACCGCCATGCAAATGATTCTCGGAGCACTGCGTGGAAACTTCAGAGGCCTGAAGACGACGCATCTTCCTCTCGGGTTGTGGCTGAAAACGGTGACGCATTGGCAGTGAATAGGGATGAGTAACAATTCGAGCTGCTGAGCTCATTGTTAAGCTGGTCATGGTTCGGAAAAAATCTGTGA